ATGCTTGGAATGAGCTTCAATTCAACAATATAAGGCTCAATTCTAGGCTTAAATCACTAGAGGCTCAAGAACCATGCAAGAATCAACTCAAATACACAATCAAGAAGGTAATTACTCTACCTTAACTCTTGTATTCAAGTGTAGAAATTCAATTTGCACAAATCCTCTACAATTCCTTCAAGTTCCAAGCAAATATGGGATGAAATCACTCTTTTCCTCTCTAGTCGGCTAGCTCTTAAGAAAAAGGCTGATGAAATGTTTTGTGGTCAAGTGTAATAAGGCTCAACATGTTTTGTATGAGGTGGTCCACTAGGATGGCATGGTGGTAATTAATCGACTATTGCAATTTATCCTTATTTAACTTAATCAAATCATACCAAAACACATTTCAGATAAATACACTATAAAATCACATTAATTCTAATTATCATAAATCATCAATCAATTTCAGATTCGATCGCCGATAAGGCCTTCAATTTGCAGTTTAAACATAAAACATGAATAGATAATTAAACAGTCAAACAGATAGACATGCATTTAAACTAGTACATTCAATCAATCAGTTCAGTATTTCAGTCAGTTCAATTACTAATCATGTTCAGTCTCAGTTTAGCAGTAATCAGTAGCGGTATCAGTGATCAGTGGTGAGGGTTATTACAGAAAGTTACCTGATCCTATGTCTCTCAGAATCTCATACATTTCCATGTTTGTTTATCACCAAACACCCTTCCCTTATAACAATAATAACTGTTTTCGTTTTCTCACTCACCCTCTCTCCCCTCCCCTTCCCTCATTCTTTCCTTATATCAATTAATCAATCAATCAATTTGTATTTGTTGAGAGCATTTCATTTTGCTTTCAAATCAATAGCTGTAAAGATATCTTCTTTCATCAAGACTTTCCAAAGGTCCAAACCAACCAATGATTTGCAGGTCCTGATTCATAAACTAATTTTATCCCTATGTCTTGATTGCTGATAATTGAAAGTAAAATTGATAAACCAAAATTCATAAACTAAACATCATCTATATTCAAGGAAAGGCATTCAGTCCCCATTGTGAGGAGTTTTTTTACTTTCATTAAATCAGATGCCTTTGATAAGTTGGTCTTTCAGACAGGTGTAAACAATATATTGACACAGTTTTAAATTCGGATGCATAATTTTGGTCTGGACTTTGATGTTTTACATTATATACAGGAAGATGTGCATTGCATTCAAGTTGTCTATACTCCATACGACATAAATATGAGATTAAATATGGAATTTTAAATCAGATTGAATGCCTCTAGGGTTGCAGATTGCTTTTCTCGGAGAGAGAAGGTTTATCAGTTGCATAGAAGGGGAAGACAGAAAGACAGAATGATCCATACCTTGAGGAAGAGGTCAGATAGAGGGAGTTGCAGACAACGCTGAAGGGGAAGGTCGATTTCGCGCTGAAGGAGCAGATTGATTTCGCAGTGAAGGATCAGATCGATTTCACGGGAGAGACGTGTTTGAAAAAGGAGCAGAATACTTTCGCGGGAGAGACGAGTTTGGAGAGCCTTCAATCACTCTCCAATTGAAGCCAGCAGGGAAGGGATGAGGGAAAATAAGAAGCCGTTTAGCCAGCCGATTAGAGTGAGAATTTAGGGTAATATTAGCTAAAATAGCTAACAGGATTAATATGCCTCTTCCCTTGGAGTTGCTCTAATAGTGCCTATAAATATATGGGGGGAATTAAGTAAGGAAAACCACTACCAGCTATTACCTGGTTGATAAATCTCTTCCGAACCTGCTGAGACAAAAGAACAGCATCAACCTGCCAAACGATCATATTCAGTAACTTCCCTGGAGCAATAACACAAAAGTCATGACACAGGGCAGCCATTCATCCCTAAGCATAAATAAAGCAACCAAATGAGGCAAAATGCTTTCAATTATCAAAACAACATAAAATTCTAGTTGGTGCGAACCCATCATATCAGGCTGTAATTGATACTATATTTTCCAAAAATGTAAAATGGAAAAATGCTCATACCTGCTCATCTTTAGCCCCTTTCTTTACAAACTCCAATTCAAGAGTAAGCAATGCTAGGTTGAAGTCTTCAGGTAGAACAAATCTAGAAATATTATCACCACAAAGCATTAAAAATTTGGTAAAAACACAACAATAGTAATCAACAATTCCTTACTAATTTATGATCACCTGCTCATGGATATTGTGTCCACAGTAGAAACTTTTGCATGGCGACGTTGGATGGCATTGAGGGCAATGTGGCCATTAGGTATGCTTTCATGTGCAGTAAGTTCTAGTCAAGGCAACAAGGGACTACAGTCCATTCAAGAAACAATCTAACGAGTGGGTATCAATAAATATTTTTTCCCACATTCCAAACATGTATAGAATGCTTTTGTCTTGTCTAAGTTCTGATATAGCATTATACATCCTCATGGACCAATTGACAATGTGTAAATTGCAGCTACAAACATATGTGAAACCACGCAAACCAAGAATTTATACATCTTAATGATTTTGATTCTCACAGTGCTAGGAACATGAACACACCTATCAGGGTAAGTATAAAGAGGGAAGAAAACAAATATAAACATTATACATGAATTGCTTTAAAGCAGAAATTCTAACGAAGCTTACCTTTGCAATTGCGATCCATGTATAGTTGATTTCAAGCTCAGACCTGCAAAACCCAGATCAAGGCAAACCAACGGACAAATTTTCACTTCTTGGGTAAATATAAAGAGCATTCTCTCCCTTTCTGTTTCATATAGTGCAAAATATATTACTTAAACTACACTCAATTAAGTATACATTTTCATACCTTAGATTTCTTAAGTATACACCTTCTGAAAGCAACCTTAGATTTCTTTTGTTTAAGCTTGGTGAGGTTCATTATTTGTTACTAGACCAAGAATATAAATTTCTATTCCAAATTTTATAGCTTAATATTGGTGGTTGGTAGTTAGAATGCCTCTTTATTCATGGTTGAGACACTAACAGATTTTGTACTTTCTACTTTCAAAGGCATATTAGCAAACAGGTGGTGTGCATAATTTACACATAAATTAAATTAAAGAAAAAGAACTTGGAAATGAACAAATTGAATGAAAATCAAAATCACATAGGAGAGAGAAGACTTTGGCTGATCAGCTGTAGCTACACATGACTCAGATATCTTATCATTCCCTCTCAAACTTTGGGGACAAGGAAGAACCTGAAGTCTGCCTTGAAGATAGTGAAACCTAGAGATAGAAAGAGGTACTGACATTACTATGGTACTCCATGGCAAACAAGTATTTTGCTCCATCACCACCTAAATTCACCCCTTCCGGCGACATTTAAATTACAACATCTAAATTTCTCAAAGTTTGGTTTCTAGGTATATAGACAAAACAACCACCCTAATGAAACAGAGTAAATCATTTCAAGAAAAGCTCTAGCTTTACAATTTCACCATCAAAAGAAATCTAAACAAGAAAAAACAAGAACTAATCAAATTGCATTCCAAGTATAAAAATAAAAATAAAAAACCCTAATCCTGGTTTGTGTTACAGACTACAGAGCAATGAACTAAGAAAATTGAAGGGAATGATGGGAAATTGAGAGAGAAGAGAAAGTGGATTTGAATTTCTTACCAAGGATGCCTCCAAACACAATAATCTATCAAAGATTTACGTACCCACAAATTTTTTTAAAAAAATGCAAATAACATATCAGATTCACCATTAACATTATTTTCTATTCCAGAAGATGGCTCTTATATTTAATTAAGTAAACGAACAAATTCTAAATACATCTACATAATTCAAGAAAACTTAGATGATAATAATAATTTTTAATGCATTTTCATCATCCAAAAAACAAAGGAACAGTAGAAATATGAGTCGGCTTTCTTACCTTAGGGAAAACAAAGAGAAAAAAAAAAAACAGAACATGAACACAAACATTGAGAGGGAGAGGGAGAGACATACAGAGAATGAGTAAGAGAGTGAGAGAGGATTTATACCTCAATTTGTTTTTAGGCTCAAAAACATGAGGCACACTAGCAACAAAATTCCCAAACCTAGGAATTGGGGCCAAAATAATCACTAATCAGACACTAGCAACAAAATTCCCAAACCCAGGAATTAGGGCCAAAATTCCCATTAATCATCAATGATGCCATTTTGGTATTAACAAGACAAGACTAACAAAACAATCTAAAAACCCTACACATACATTGATTGATTTTATAAATGGGTTGGTTTCAACAAAAAAATGAAGAAATGGTTACCAGGCAGTGTCGATAAAGGATTTCTTGACGACTAGGCGAGACGAAGCGATGACCTTGCCGAAGCTGAGGGGCTTGATTTGGACAGGTGTAACGACGGTGCCAATGAGCTGTATGAAGTTACAGAGCTCCTTCTTCCACTGAAATGCTCTCTTCAAAACAAGAAGAGCATAAGAAATAGAAGGGAAATCAAAGAGAAAAAGTGAGACAGAGAGAGATAGACAAAAGCTTGAAAAAATATACCTAGATAATGGTGGCGAGGCGAAGACGGACGTTGGCACTGACGGTGGAGAGGCGAGGACGGCGGACGGCAGCATTGATGGTGAAGAGGCGAGATGAGTGACGCGACTGAGAGGGTGGGATCGATTGGGCGCGTTTTTGTGAAATATTATAGGGGTCTCATTTGTTTTCCCCTACAAATAGTGTTGGTCGGCTATTTAGACTCTCTGCATTTAACAAACAAAACGACGTCATTTTGAAATGTGCGACTAAATTGTAATAGTCGCTAAAAGATTTTAATCTCCCTCCCAGTTTTTCACTTTCCCGCCTAAATTTTTGGCGACCAATATTTTAAATTAGTCGCGAGAAATTACTTTTCAACGACCGAATTACTTTAGTCGGTGAAAGTATGAACTTTTGCCTACCAATTTTTTCTTAGTAGGCAAATGTGATTTTTTTGCGACCAAAATATTTTTGGTCGGCAAAAGTGGTCGGTAAATGTGTTTTTTCTTGTAATGAGCTTTGTCACCGGAGAAGCATCCGAGAAGTGTCACAAGGAGAAGCGAAAGACGGTGAATGGCGATGACATCTGTTGGGCACTAGGAAGTCTAGGGTTCGATGACTATGCTAAGTCGATGAGAAGGTACTTGAATAGGTATAGTGAGATAGAACAGAAGAGAGAGCATCAAAATAAGAACAATGACGGAAGGGATGAGGTAAAAAACTGTGGAGGTGAGATTACTAGGAAAACCTAATGATTTCACTACTCTATTCATGTTTAGTGTAATGGGGGAAACTAATAACAACAACAACTCCTTCTCTAGGAGATTTTGGGGTTTATTGAGAAGTGCAATATTGTAATTTCAACTCTCTATGATGCCTATATGACAATTAGGGTTGGGTTTGTTCTATTTGATCGACTGTTTGAAGCAAACCGTTGCATTTTCTTATATTATTAAAGATGTGGTTAATTCTGTGTGGTAAGACAACTAATGATGTATCTTCATCTTCTTCTTTTATTAATGAATATTGAATTTAGGGTTTCATATGCGCTTAATTATTTTACATCTGCTAATACTAATTACCAATGGAAGAAAATATTATTTCTAATATATATTGATTTTTTATCTTGCTCTAAATCAAGTGGAGATGCAGTAAATATCATACTCGACAATCATCATCAGCTACCCTTTAACCCTCTCACTCATATTTAAAATGATGGCCCTTTTTGTTTAGGGGACATTGTCGGAGAAAATGTGAGAAACAGAGTAAGAACTTTCTAATTGTTAGATAGATCAAAATAGAGATCTATATCTTTCTAACGATAGATCTATTGATAAATGGATATTAATTTATTCAATTTCAATAGATAAGAAGCAAAATGTGACATCACCTACTACCCTTTTCTCCATTGGGAACTACCAAGATATGAAAATGGATGGCATCATCATATGCTCAATATTGGTTGCCCTAATTTGACTACCGTTGATTTGTTGCCCAAACTAGTTAAACGATCTTCTCTATTAAGATATTGTTTAGACTATTATTACCTAGTTGCTCTATGACAGTTTGAGCGAATGCTTATGATAAATGGGATAATTCACCGCAAGCTTTGGTCATCATCGATGGCACCAAACAGAAGGATGTAAGTCTCCTTTAATTTCTCGATTTGATAAGACTGATACTCGAATTTTGACTTTTGATTTTTTTTTTTTTTTTTTTAATATTAAAATGGTGCATATATATCAAATTTAATTAGTGCAAGCTTAATGATTAGGGCTTTCACACTTTTTTTAAGGAAGTGAACTCAGCATTTCTATTTTTTCTGGTTAATTCTAGTCACATGACATGTTTATAAATTTAGATCCACTACCAGTTCTATCAATTCATTTTTCCAGTTTATTCATGTGGTTGATCTTAAGGTTGGATAATTATTAATAATATTACTTACTGTTCATTTTTCCAATTAATTGTTATAGTTCTGAATCTTCGGATCAACTCTCTCTCCCTCCAAGAATGCTTGGTTTGTGGTGAAAAAAAACCTTAAGGCGCATGCGAATAATGAATAGCAACAATGATTCATCCCCCCTTTTCCCCCCACCTCCTTTGACCCCCTCTCTTTCTCATTGGTTACATTTTCTTTTTCTTTTTCTTTTTTTTCATGCTCCTCCAATCACCACCAGCCACGTGGCAAAGGGGGGTGAGGGGGTGACCCCCAAAAGGGGGTCCCAAGCATTATTCTAATGAATAGTTTCTCCATGCGATTTCTAGCGTATTACGATATGCCATTTAATGCATGTTTTTAAAATTGTTTTTGTTTATTTATTTTTTTTGGTCTTTTGTCCGTATTGAATTTTTTTTCATATTTCAATTTTATTTTTATTTTTTTAGATTTTTCAGAGCCATTTAATCTAAATACAATTAAAAATAAAATATATGTCACAAATATATTTTATTTTTTTAGTATATCTAAATTAGATGCATGTAAAAATAAATCAAATCAAACCAAACCAAATCAAACCATGCCTTAAATCCTATCAAATGTGGTTGGCTGGATGAATCCTTCTTCTCCACTCGACTCTATCCAAAACATTTTGTTAGTCACATTAAAGAGATTCATATCTTTATTTACTACATTAGTCCACGTCAATTTAGGCCTATCACTTCTCCTAACACTACCATCTATTGTCACTGTATCACAACTCTTCACTACTATCTCTATTAGCCTTCGTTGTATGTAACCAAACCATCTCAATCTATTTTCTCTCAACTTATTTTCTATCGGTACTACTCATACCCATTCTCGAATATATTCATTCCTAACTTTGTTTTTTTCTAATTTTGTCACACATCTACCTTAGCATATTTATCTCAGCAACACTCATCTTATTTACTTGTTATTTCTTAGTTGCTCAATATTCCGTCTTATACAATATCGCTGGTCTAATAACCGTTCTATAAAACTTCCATTTAAGTCTAATAGATATTCATTTATCGCACAATACTCCAGATGCAATCTCATACTTAATGGTTTAATTCCTTTGAGGGTTCATTACCAGGGACATGACACTTCTCTCATGCCTAAAACAACACTTGATTTGGTGCTCCTTCCCATTAGAGGACTTAAAGCTCACTTTTGGACTTAATTAACTAAGGAATGGTTGGTAATTAAAATGAATGTAATAAAATAAGGACTAAAAGTGATGTAAGATAATAATCAATTTGGTGTTCAATCGGATGTTAATTGAATACATGGAAACTTGGAGCATTTCATATTTGCTAGTGATGAAATTGTTCAAGCTTCCAAGGTCAACCACTTCCATTGATCAATCTATGATAGGGAGGAGGTTTGAGAGTCTTTTATGTTGCATTTATTGAAATTGTACACCTTGATTCATAGGTCATCATACAATGAAATTGCATCAATTAATGATTTGTGAATTGAGCTTGCCACTCCTTTGAGCTGTTTGATAATAAGGAGGGGCAAGATATACAAACATACCTTAGGAATACCCTATTTTGTGTTTTGTATGCTTTCTGTTACAACAAAAGGAACCAGGCTTTCGTGGCCGCTACGCCACTTTTTTTGGACGGCTGGCCACTACTTCTGGCTTACTGGCCACTTTTGTCAAATTGAACGACAACTTTTTGGAACAGAACAGAGCAGAGACTGAGGTGAAAAGATGTTCTACTGTGCAACAGAGGCATTCTGGCAGCAGAACGGTGGGTTTTTCGAGTGGAAATCCTCGCATGCATAAACATTCCTCGCTTCTCGAGGCTAATTAGTTAGCTTAGTTGCTTCTTTCATGTTGTAATTAATTAGTTAAATCTAATTTGTAATTAATTAGTTAGTTTTTTGGAATAGCTAATTATTGGTTTTGTAATAACTAGCTAGTATAGTTAGTTTATTTGGTTTGTAATAATTAGTTAATTCATTTTGTAATAGCTAGTTAGTTTATTCGGACCCTCCTGCACGAGGGCACAGTTGTAATAATGTGTATGTCTTCCAACCCCACGTTTGCCTCCCTTTTATTTACCTGCTTATGATGGTTAGTTTAAGGCATCATTGTAACAACCTCGACCCATAATTAACGCTAATTCATGTTTTAAGTATGCCAAATAAGTAATTAAGAAGAAATTTTCAATTAATTATATGTGCATTGTATCATTTTGTAGTTATATCTGTTTTATGTAGAAAGACCTGTTCGTGTTTTCGTTTCGGGTTGTGAATTGAAGGCCCTATCGGCATCCGATTCAGAAATTGACTTGATTTATATGTTAATTAGGATCTTTATGATTTTATGGTAGGTTTAATTGAAATTCGATTTGGAACGGTTAAATTAGAATAGTTGGTGCCAATGTGATTAACTTAAGTCAATTTAATTAAACTACTTTAACTAAGCTTATATAAGGCACCTTTTTGTTCCCCACTCACTCTTTTTCTTCATCCTACATGCATCTTTGAGCTCTTATAGACACAAAAACGTGAGAGGGAGAGAGAGTAGGGAGGAAATTGAACTCAACAAGAGAATTGCTTGAGATTTAGAGGAAATTGAAGAGGACTTAAAGGATTAAGCTACCACACTTGAGAATTCAAGACTTAAGGTAAGAATCCACCCTTTTAATTGTGAAATATAGTTGTTTAATGCATGGGTTCATGGAAATTAGGGATTAAAGTCAAGAAATAACTTAAAGAGTAGATTTGAGAATCAATTCATGCATGCATGTCCATACTATGGAGTTTTGAAGTTGTTTTAACGAGAATTCTCACATGCATGTTCATATTATAGTTGAAATCTAAGAATTCACCATGTTTTGGGAAAGAATATCTCATGTGATCGTGTTTTGGAAGTTATGAATTCAAATGAATACATGCATGGCATAATTACATCATGTTCTTCCATTTCAAGATAATTTTTTGAACAATTGGCATGCCCTTGGGCTATGATTTCATGAAATGATCTTCAAGTCATGATGTTTTGTGAGTTTCTAAATATTTTCCAGAATTTTGGCCCAAAATATTGAGTTTTGAAGTGTTTGGTTTGGGTTTGAAGCATGGAGATCAAATCTGGAAATTCCAAGTTTTGCATTCACGCTCAAGCGTAGGAGTTCACGCTCGAGCGAGCACTCTGAGTGCGTGTACTTCCGCTCGAGCGACGGGAAGCTCGCTTGAGCATGAAATGCATGTATCCAGAAATTCAAATGTTTTGTAGCACGCTCGAACGACAGAAGTCACGCTCGAGCGAGGGTCTGAGTCTCACGCTCGAGCGTGGACCGAGCGTCCGTCGAACGTGAAAAACAAGCAACCAGTACTTTTTCCAAAGTCTATAGTCCGCTCGAGCGAAGGAATTCATGCTCGAGCAAACCTTCACTTCTTGCAAGTCCGCTCGAGCGAGGAAAGCCACACTCGAGCGTGGACCCTGTTTTCAGCAAGTTTTGGAAAATGTTTTCAAATGCATTTTTGCATCTTCATTCCATCCTAGGCATTCCTAGGCCATGATTAAGACTCCATAATGAGGTTAAAGGCTAGAAACACGCTTAGAACAAATAAAGTAAGTTATGTACAATTCGAACGTGTGTTTCAGGTGTGTATTTATTATGTGTTCATGTAGGTCACGTGTCGTAGACCGTTTGATTAGTCTGCTCTATCTGTCTGCACCCGAAGCCAACTGTGAGTAATAACTTAGTAAAGCTATATTCAACTTTATTTATTTTATATATGATGAATTCAAATCTGTTTTCTAAAATGATATGTTCTATACAATGAATGATTGTCCAATTTTTGACAATGTATTCGTGGCATCCTTAGCATCATGTGATATCTGTTAGCTGTTACTTGGTATCGGAGGTTCCATCATGGAACTTAATATGTCTACAATCTGTTACCCGTATCGGAGGCTCCATCATGGAGCTCAGCATATATGTCTGTTACTCGGATCCGGAGATTCCTTTATGGAACTGGTTATTCATAACCACCATATGTTCTGCATCTATTCTGTATCTATTCTGTTAGCGTTAATGGATGTACCACGTATGATTAAGCATGAATTATGATTTCTATATATCATCTGAACAAGAATATGAACATGAATCTGAATTATGATTTCTGAATCTGTATGGACTTCATTCATTAAAACCCTTTACTCCATTATTATTCACTAGGCTTCCCCTCACTATTTATATTATGTATGTAGGTGAGCAGGCACATGACCAGGTCCAGAGTTGACGGCCTATGTTTCAGTTTTTGTCAGCCAACCTTTGCGCCTCCCGAAGAGGTTCCGGATGAAGTCAAGTTTTGTGGATGTTTTTGTAATCATAGGAAACAATGTTTGTTGTTAAGTTGTGAGCGAGATGTTGGCATGTACGCATAAATGTGATATGTAAATATTATATCTTTTGACTTCACTCGTAAGTCTATAAAAGTTTAAGCTATTTGGTCTCATGTATGTCATCACAGCTCATTGGACCTCGTATATTTTGTTTATTTGTTTCCGCAGCCCCTAACTATTTGTTAATCTGTCAAGAGGCCTTTGGTAATCCAAGGATTACTGGCCGGTTACGATGCTAAACCCATAGGGGCGAGTTTGGGTCGTGACAATCATGTTTTGTTTAGCATCTCTTATGCCTTGCATCCATTGTCTTGCATACATTGAGCTCAACACATCATTCTAATTTGCATTGTTAGTTAATACTTCTTTGAATACGTACTTAGACCGCATATTATCAAATTGATTCATATGCCATATTAGTAGTCGAGCCTAGCAGTTGCATATTACATGCGTTGCACTAGTCATATTGCATAGTTAGGATCATGCATTATTCTAACTCTATCATCTTATTTGGCTTGGAGTACTAAGTAAGCTTTTGTTTGTTTTAGCATATTGCATTGTATGTTAGTGTTGCCATGTCAAAACATGTTTACCATGAGGCTAAGTGCTTAAGTGATAAACTATTTGAATATCTGTGAATGAAGGCTAGTTGCTAAAATTGAGGTAGTTTGATTAATGTACATTTAAGCACACTTTTTCAAATGGCACATTCGCAAACTCTTTTTAAAAAACAAACATGAAATCAAATGTTCCAATTTTTACAAGTTAGTCTATACTTGTGTGTGCATTACATATTATTTTAGCCTAATAAATCGGAATAAGAGCATATAATGTAAATAAAATTCACATCATGATTAGTAGAGGCCAAACTTTGATCGGGCGAGTGGGGGGCTCAATTCATGACATTCTCCTCTCGTACCTAAGTTCCCTAGCCGAGACAATCTTGGTAATGACGGACACGTGGCCTTTGGCACGAATCATGGGTTTCCTAAATTTTCTAAAAATATTTAGATGGCGACTCTATATCTGGCAAAACAGTCCATTTTTGACATTTTGATCCAAAATCAATTTTCTAAAATATTTTTCAAATTTGGACTCTTTGGTGTTTATCTATTTCGCATTGCAGTTGTGGAATCAGATTCAAAACTGCGAGAGTCCGAACTGTAAGGCTTATCGTCTTCCGAAAGGAGCATGAAAAGTTGAGCTACAGATATTGAATTAAATATATGTGAAAATTAATTTTCTGAAAGAAAGTTTAGATGAAGGATTTTGTGTAGATCAACTCAAAGGTTTCTTTATTAAAGAAAATGAAAATGTGACTTGCAAACTTAAAAAATCAATTTGTGGACTTAAACAAGCTTTCTAAAAATTGTATCTTAAGTTTTATGATACTATTTTTCCTTTAAATTTAAAGAAAATATTTTTGATTAGTGTACATATCCAAAGATCAGGGGGAGCAAGTTTATATTTATGATTTTGTATATTGATGATACTTTGCTTGTCAATAATGTACGTAATTTATTGCACGAGTTAAGAAATTTCTCTTTAAGAACTTTGAAATGAAATATATTAGTAAGACAACCTATGTGATAGAAATTGAAATATTTCTAAATGAATCACATAAATTTTGAGATTGTCTTAGAAGGTATATATTAAAAGTTTTATAGAGATTCAAAATGAGAGAATATTTACATGAAGTTATCCATGTTCCGAAAGGAAATAAATCCAATCTTATGCAAATTTTTATAAAATCAATTAGAATAGAAACGATTCTTTATACATTTATTGTATGAAATTTAATGCTCAAATAAGGGAGTGATAAGGTAATCATAAGGAATAAAAGATTACTTGCTCACATTTATGAAGTTTGATAATCATTAATTGATTAGCGACTTATATTCAAACTTTAGATGATATATTGATAGTAGAAAATTCACTTTTGGTTCTTTGTTTCTTTTATGTGGAGGAGCAATATTAAGAAAAGTGTAAAACAAACTATCATAAATATCCTCTGTGAAAGTTGAATTTGTAGTGTGTTTTAAGACCACAATTCATGAATTATTATTACGAAACTTTATCTCAAGACTTGGGATTGTCGACTTTTATTGCCAAGTCGTTGAGAATTTATTGTGATAATTTCGCAGTTGTTTTATTTTCTTAGAATGATAAGTTTTCTAGTGATGCTAAACACATATAATTGAAATATTTTATCGTTAAAGAAGAATTTCAAAAACAGAAAATGTTAATAAAACACATAAGTACATAATTTTTAAGTGTAGATCTATTGATGAAGAAATTACTCTTAAAGACAATTAAGAAACTTGCCAATTGAGTCTTGAATGTAATCCATAACTGTTGTTTATGATTGATTGTGTTATTTGACACATTGAAATCTAATTAATTGTGTTTCTGATATATTTCATGTTATGAAATGAGTACGCACATAAATGAGAATGAATGAATGAGAACATGAATAGTTTTTCATAAAAAAGACATTATCGTTGGACCTCTTTATACTCTTAACTTAAAGGGCTATATTAAACTAGTTACTGGTGTTGTAGTACATTGAAGGGACTATGTCGCTCTATTGATGTAGAACTGCCATGACTCACATTAGTGAACTATTTAATTATAGTATTATGATGATAACCAAATTAAATGTAATATTGAATATGGTTTATTGCGCGCCTAATGTTAACTTGTTAAATCCTGACGTAAGTTATCATATGGGCCAAGTGGGAGAATGTAAGACTAAATTAATTATTTAGTCATTATGTTGACCCACATAATATGGTGATCTGAATTAGAGATTTGGCAGGATTATGATTCCATATTTTGTACTATAATTAATTGGTAAATAAAGAAGAGTGTTTTTCTAGTATTCTACTTTGATGGGAAAGTGGAATTATTATTGAATAAGGAAACTGGTCATCTCTCTACCTATAAAAGGACATTTAGACTACCCATTAAATTATTCTGAATTCAAAGTATTCTAAAGAGGGTTAAGAGAGGGAAACCCTTTTTCCACTAATATTATTATTAGGTTTATGTTCAATCAATTTTGGGTCAGTTGAAGGTTTCGCATAACTGATCCAGATATGTTATTTATTTTCCGCATTATGTTATTATTTGTAAAAATCATGACAGTGCACGATTTTGGATTATGAAGGTCATTATATGCATAATACCATAAAATTATTTACAACTCCTACCAACCTTAACACTTCAAGACTTGAAAGAGAGTATGAAACCTAAGAGCTATTTATGCCTCCATGATAAAAGGGAGAATCTGAATTTCTTTTCTTATTTTATTTTTATTGTTATTATTATTTTTTTATCTCAAATCTCTGTGTTTCAGCAAAGAGTGAGTGCACAAGTCTCTCCTTCCCTCTAGGATCTCCTAATTATACCTACTGGGTGCTAGGAGGAATCATGTGCATTAAGACAATCTCAAAACTTTCTCTACAAGTTTACTTCGGGCATCAATTTCTTGTTTGATTGTTCGGTTGAAAACAAAAATATAAAACTGAATTTTTTTTTTTTTTTTTTTGCAGCGAGGGGGGGATAAAGCGTGGATGGCTATGTTTATAAGGTCCTTCTTAAAGATTTGTAAACAACGATATTTCCTTGAGCTTCCAATGTTAGACACCCCCTGTATTTGTGTCAGATCCATGCATGCCAGTTACATCAAGTTTTGCACCACTTTTCTTATTTTGAGTTTGTGTATGATTGCTTAAAATATGTATAGTGCTTGTTTCTTCTTCCTTCTTTTCTTTTTCTTTTTTTTTTATTTTTTTTTATTTTCCTTAGATGGGAATTAACTCCGCCGAGGTTGTTAACAACTCCGCTGGTCCAAAGCCCGAGTTAAGGAAGAGGGTTATGTGTTAGGTAGCCGACAACCAACACATAAAAAAGTCGTTCGAATCTCTTATGACCCATTTGATGGGACTTCAGACTTGATTTGGTTTGGTTTGGTTTGGTTAGATGGGAATTGTTTCTTTATTTGTCTGAGTTGGGTAATATGTACCTTGTTGAAGAGGTATATTTAATAATGCAGTATTTTTTACTGATCATGTTTTTTTTCTTAATTGTTAGAATTTTTATCCTACAGTTTTTATTGTTTTTATTAATTTTGGAAAATTCCTCTCTTGACAAAACACATTGATTAGTAACTCATTTTGATTATTGATTTACTATTTTTGAAATATCTAACTTGAAGTAATCAATTGGAGAGTTGAATTGTTGATGGTTGGGCTAAAGTATGGTGTTGTAGGGTTGAAAGTCATGGCATTTGCAGAGATAATTTGGCTGGTTGTCTACTGCAAAATAAGGAAAAAAAGGAACTGATTGACTAGTCTTGATTTGCTAAAGCATGGGTCAAGATTTGATGGGAAAAGGCTAAAATGGAGCTAAAATTGGCTGATTGTCGTGTGATCATTGTTGCAAGGTATGGGTCGAAGATTTGAAGGAAAACAAAGCAAAAGTCTGCAAATTCGGCTGAACTATCATGTCCATCAAGCCCGCAAATATTCCAATAGTGCCCGTGATTTGTAACATTGCGCCCGTGAGAAAGCCGCGATGAAATCAAGCTCTTAGTACCTTCATTTCAGTTCATCTCTGTGCCAGCGAACATGACCTCGCGCCTGCAATATATAGGCATGGCGACCACGAATAGAAAGCAACTAGGCCGCGAGGAAAACAAGCTTTTAGTACTGTTTCTGCAACACGCGAAGGGGTCTTGTGCCCACGACCAAGAGGCTCGCACCCGCAATGGTCTTATGTCTATATATACCATGCTTGGTCTGTGTTCTGTATTTTTTTAGTCTCTTTACTCAGAGAGTGTTGAAGTAAGGTTACATTGTATATTTCTCTAATGTTTACTTGATGATTCAACTACTCCATTTGTTCTTTCATGAAATCATCGAGTCTCAAACAAATCAACAAATGGCTCACGAGTGTTCTTGAGGAGTAAGTATGTCATGGATTCGACATCTCTCTTACGAAGGCAGATATCCACAGAATGAAGCATAGAGGTTGAAGTACTTGTAGGTCTCGAGCAAGCATGTGTGCCTAGATTTATCGTTGTAAGAAACTTCTTGTACTACTCTTCTTCATAGTAGATTGTTCTTGTGACCGAGGACCTGTGGTTTTTTAATCACATGTTGGTAGATTTCAATTGTGATTTTTCCACGTAAAAATCTTTGTGTTATGTTTGCTCTTTGTTCGTTCTTGTATTGTTGGGCTCGGTTGGTTTAAAACTCTTAAATCAATAATCACAAAATCATGGGACTATAATTTTTCATTGATATAATTTAATCATTGGTATTCAATTTGTTTTTTACTTTGTACATATGTTTAAAATTTATGCAGACTTGTGAACTTTTAACAATTCTTTGTTCTATTTGTTTCAGAGCCTTCTTATGGACATAAAGGGGCCTGCATACGCATATGGAAGGAGAAACATACCGAAGTTTGAGGTGTTTTACCATTTGGAATGTTTTGACTAATGCACTATGCTTTCTATTTATTGTTGACTGTTATGCTACATGAACAAGGAGAAACATACGCATATAATATTTGCTTAATATGCGCGTGGAAAATAGAATTAGTCTTATTAACTCTGGTTTTTAGTGATTGGATTATCCTATTGTAGGCATCTATTGTCACAACCGTTAATTTGCTGTTTGAGTTTTTGAATCATTCTAAACTTCTAGTGATCATGTCCCATTTTTAAGTTTATGTTCACAACAAAGTATACTTCATCAGTGCTTAAAATTCTATTGGCCATAGCATTTGTTTTTCTAGTTCATGGCCTAATTGTCTATTATTTTGCTTTCATCTACAGATGGACCTCCGAGATAAGCCCGCACTAGACTTCCCTTAACCTTCATATGCATCTTAAGTATCTGCAACTTTTATCTGAATCTTGTCACATTAGAACCTGTATCCTCAAGCTAGTTTTTTTTTAAACTCCCAGGATTGAGGCATTACTTAGGCTATGTAATAAAACTAATTAATTCCTTCTACAGTTTAGATTGTGAGGCCCAACATATTAATAACAGGGAACATGAGTAGTGTATTTACAACAGGAAAAAAAAAATGATCTTCAATTTACAAAATGGTTGTAAACATCAAAAAAACAATCTTCTATACGTACGAACTATGTTTATTAACATGAATAGAAAGTTGATATTGTGGCTTATATGAAGGTTATTCCCTTGTATTACATGATAGTTAAATTTGAGATAGAAAGTTAAATTTTTAGATGTTTGATAATGGAATGGATACATGTATTACATGATCCAGATTGTGGGGAAATAGATTTTTTAATGTGATTGTTGTTTTATGTTTGTAGACTTAATTCACAGAATAATGATGTCCACTATAGGCATGATAAATATATAAAAAAAAGAGTTAACGAACAATGATAAACAAGAAAAAGCATTGCAAATATCTAATTTAACATTTGGACTTCTTAGCATTAGACTAAAGGTGGCTTGAGATATTCTATATAAGTGTACTTTTTGACTTTTTATAAAAAAAAATGTGTAGAAAAATAGAAAAGATATATTAATTAATGTAACTCAAAAAAAACCAAAACCCTAGATTGAAAATACTATTTGTTACATGTGATGCCCACTAAAGTAGATGGTGAGGGGGGAATCTCAACAAAAGTGGAAGATGGCCTCCAAAGAAGAGAAATTTGAAAAACAGAGAATGTGAAATTTCTCTTCGTCCCAAAAAAAAAAAAGGCACCTTTCAGAAACTCCAAAGGTTTTTCAAGTCTCTTTTATGAATTTAGTTCTCCACCAACTCACTTTCATACATTTAAATATACAAATTTCATTACTAATTTTTGTTCATAGTGATGACAGTTGAATTGCTTGTATCATGTTATTTTAACGAATTTCATTTTAAATGTCAAAACTTCAAGATGGCAAGCCACATTTACAAGCAATATTAATTTATGAGATTTGTATAAAATTTTCATTCATTAAGTTAAGGTCATGCTTATTTGGATAGAATGGATGATTATTATTTTTAAAGTTGTTAGTGTTACCATTATTAATTCTTTTAGACTGTATATCCCGTCACATGTTTGAATCCTAACCTCTCAACAAGTCTAAAACTGTTAGTCTATCTCAACAAGTTTTTCGAATTATTTTTCAACTTGTTACGTGATCTATATTAGCCACTTCTCTCACAAGCAAAATAAATTTTCAGTCTTTTACAACCTCCACCATAGTTTGATGTCTTTATAATAATAATAAAACCATATTGGTCCTTCAAATATCACGTACCCAAGTAAGCAATTCATCATTGTTGTCGAAAACCTATATATAATATCACACAACTTTCATAACAACAAACTAATTGTGGAGGCCGAGTAAAAGTGACCGCTCAGGACCTGCTCAGAGGATGCCGAGAGATGAACACTAGCGAGGATAACTCGGCATGACCAGACCCATCTGAAAGCCGAGTATAATCTATCTGAGGGCCAAGTATTCCGAAATTCTTCTGACACATCTGGGGGCCTCGGATGTGATGGCCAAAGGTGATGATGAGAAAGTGGGCCCTTGGAGTGCAGTATAAAAAGGAGGAGCTTCAATCAAATTGGGGTATGTAAAAAAAGGGAAGAAAAAGGTGATAACTTGAAATAGAAGTAAGACTTGAGAGAATACTGACTTGTCCGACCGAAGTGTTCATTCCTTTTTCAGGTAGCAACCAGAGGATCAAGAGCGTCTACCAGGACCAAAGAGTATTTCCAAACCACTTTACTACAATTGGCACCGTCTGTGAGAATACTCAAGTGCATTCATGGCAAGCGTAACAGATGATCCTTCGCTCGTTGCTGACGATGTTACACCAGGAGATGATATTACTCCAGGAAACATGCTTGGACAGGAGAATTTCATCGCGCGAAGGGCCATGAACTTCAACCCAGTGGCTCAAACCTCACCCTCAACCTCTATGCAGGAGATTATGTAGACGATCATGGATCAAGAAAAATGAAACAAACAACGCCTGGAAGATATGGTGGCCGATAACGAGCACTTATGTAAGGAATTGACCCTGGGGGTGGCCAAATCCCAACAGGCCACACATCATGACTGGGGTCGATCGCCAAAGAAGAAAAAAGATGATCAACGGTGTCGACATCGAAAACATGATAGTGGCAATGATTCCGATTCGCCATCTCAGGAACCCAGAAAGAAGGGACGAGTTGATGTATCCAGCTCATCCAAGGGCAGTCCGTATGTACAACACAAGCAAGGGAAGGAAGTGATGGTTCAGATGAAGAAGACAAGTACGACCCTTTCGTACGACGCATTGCAAGGGATGTGCTGCCCAAAAAGTTCAAAGCACCAACATTCACCCTATATGATGGAAAGTCATACCCCACAGACCACATTTGTCATTACAAACAAGCGATGACGTTGCATGCCGATGATGAGGCCCTCATGTGTCAAATATTTCCAAGTAGCCTGGGACTATTAGTCGTCAGATGGTATTATAAACTGGAGTCGGCGTCAATAAAAAGCTTTCATCAGCTTCAAAAATCCTTCAGGGCAAGATTCATCACCAATGAGGTCCAACCAAAGCAAGTCAACTCTCTCTGGGTGATGCAAATTAAACCAGAACAGATCCTTCGTGAGTATTCGATGAGCTATTGGGAGTGTTTCAACATGGTGGATGATGCCTGCAATGATTCCATGGCCATTGTCGCCTTTAAGATAGGATTACACCCCGATAGTCTTCCCCGAAGTTCGTTGACCAAACGGCCTCCCAAAATAGTCTGGGCACTAATGAAAAAAGTTAAGGAGTACTATAATGTGTAAGATGATTTTTTTGCGTCAAGACAGGACATAAAGTCATTAAATCGGCACCATCTGGTTTGGTTCAGCCGATAAGCGTCGTGCCACCAAGCAACCCTGAGCCTCAGATTCAGGCTAAACAAGACAACCGGCGTGATTCACGCTGATCAAGCAGGCAGTGTTCGCACCGCTTGACCGAACAGTATTAAGTGGATAGCAGGCACACCATACATTTGAACAAGAAGTATACAAAATTGGCAGAGCCGATTAGTAAGATCCTACCCAAAGTCCAGCATCTTCCGTTCTTTAAGTGGCCGTCCAAGATGATGGGGCCCCCTGATATTAGAAGAAGGGATAGGCGATGCGAATATCACAAGGACCATGGCCACAACACTAACAGCTGCTATGCACTGAAAGACCACCTGGAGAAGTTAGTGCAAGACGGTCGGCTAACGTAACATATCCGAAAGAATAATCCACTGAACACGATAGCTCTACGGCTGGATTCACCTTCACTTGGTGTAATTCATATGATATACAGCCTACTGTCGCCAGCCCAAATACATACAATTCAGTTGCAACCTAACCTGTCCAAGCCAATCACACCAATCAAACGGCCCCATGAAACTGGCAAGATTAGCATCGACAACATCGACCTAGACAGAGCAACTCTCCCCCACGTTGATCCCCCCGTCATCGAGCTACGCATGAACAGATTCACAGTCGAGCGTGTTCTCATCAATCAGGGAAACACCTCAGAAATAATGTATTACAAAACATTCATTAAACTCGGCTTCACTGATTCGGACCTGTTACCGGCCGATTACCTACTGTTCGGCTTCAACGCCAACCCCGAGTACCCTTTGGGCAAGATCACACTACCAGTACAGGCGGGTACCAGATCAGTCAACGTGGAATTTTTGGTCATCAAACTCCCGTCACCATACAATCTTATCATAGGAAGGACCTGGCTACATGCTATGCAGGCTATGCCAAGCACCTACCATCAACTACTCCGCTTTCTAATTGAATATGGCATAGAGCATATTCAAGGCTCTCAGAAATCGGCACAGGCATGCTATCTTATTGCTGCTGCAAAAAGGCCAAAGGAACTAAAAGTGAACTTAATTGAAGTACCGAATCGAGAAAGACTCAAGGACATTGGAAAAAACCCCTAACAAAAAGGCAACTAAAAACCTTGATCGGGTCGAAATCAATGGGGACCCTGACAAGTTCTTCATGATCGGCACTTCCCTAAACGAAGTTGAAAGACGCAAGCTGATTTCCTTCTTACTCGGCAACATTGACGTATTTGCATGGACACCATATTAAATACCGGGAGTGGATCTAATTGTGGCCCAACAGCATTTAAACGTCGACCCAAAAGTCAAACTAATCATTCAGGAAAGTTAGGGGTCAGCCGCGGAGCATGTATCGGCCGTTGTTGATGAAGTTGACTGGTTACTTGATGCCGAGGCAATTCATGAAGTAACTTCTCCCACGTGGCTATCCAATACTGTGGTTGTAAAGAAAAAAAATGGATCTGGGCGTGTCTTTGTGGATTTCACAAACTCGAACAGGCCTGTCCCAAGGATTGCTTTCCTCTTCCCAGAATCGACCAACTTGTGGACGCAACGACGCATTATCGACGCATCATCAACGCATAAGCTTCTTGGATGCCTACAGGGGTTATCACCAAATTGACATACATCTAAAGGATCAAGAAAAGACCGCATTCCTCACCCCAAGGGGAACCTATTGCTACAAGGTCATGCACTTCGGACTGAAGAATATAGGGGCAATATACCAAAGGCTGGTTACCACTATGTTTAAGGACCAACTCGGCTGCACCATGGAAGTATACATCGATGACATGGTGATGAAATCCAAGGAAAAGCACACCTATCTAGCCAATTTATCAGAGACCTTCGGCATTCTCCAAAAGTACAAGATGAAACTGAATGCCTCGAAGTGCGCATTTGACATCAGATCTAGTAAGTTTCTCGGCTATATTGTGAACCATCGCGAAATAGAGGCCAACCCGAAGCAAATCACAGTAATTCTAGAACTTGGCTCCCCTCAGTCAGCCAAAGAAGTTCAGAAGTTGAAGGGAATGGCCGCTGCCCTCAATAGGTTTATCAGTCGTTCCTCAGATCGCTGCCGACAATTTTTTCACACACTTCGGTAGAGCAAAGCATTTGAATGGACACCGGAGTGCCAGGCCGTGCTGGACGGCCTGAAAACTTATCTCCAATCAGTGCCACTCTTGGAAACCCCATCGCCAAGCGATCCGCTCATCTTGTATTTGGCGATATCCGACCGGGCAGTCAATGCCGTGTTATTGAAAGAAGAACTCGGGGAGCAGCGACCAATCTACTATGTAAGCAAGGCCATAGTTAACACCGAGACGCGATACCCACCACTGGAAAAACTTATCCTAGCTTTCGTGGTGGCTGCCAGAAAGCTGATGCACTATTTTCAAGCTCATACCATAGGGGTATTAACAGACTATCCTCTCCGTAGCGTGGAAGCATCGGAGTGAGTCTCTAAATGGGCTTTGGAACTCGGCGAGTATGACATCCAATTTTTTCCCAAAATGGCCATTAAGGGGCAGGTGCTGGCCGACTTTGGAGCCAAGTTCACAGGATACCATGCCTACTTCAAATCTGATCAAGTCCCCCTTCAACCTCAACCCGATTGGAGAATGTATGTTGGAGACATTTGGAAAATGTATTGCGATGAATCATCCAACCATCGTGGTAGCGGGGCAGGCGTAGTAATCATGACCCCCGAAGAGGCAATAATTGAACAAGTAGTCAAACTAGGTTTCAATGCATCAAAAAACGAGACCGAATACGAAGCATTGCTAACTGGCCTTCGCAACGCACATCATCTTGGTGCACGGTGGTTACATGTTTTTTATGACTCAAAGTTAGTCATCAACCAGTTGAAAAGGAAATATGCAGCTAAAAATGACCGAATAGCAGCCTACATGAAAATGGCGAATTCCTTGCTCACGATATTCGACCACCACGAGCTGAATCAGATAACCCGGGATCAGAACACACATGCGAATACCCTTGCTTGTTTAGCTTCTGCCATTAACTCAGAAGTCAAACGAACCATCGAAGTAGGATTTGTCCCAGAGTTGAGTATCACTTCTTCTGAAACAGTTCAGATTAACATCATTGAGTCAGGAACGAGTTGGATGGACCTTTTGCTGCATTTCTTTCCTCATAGTAACTCCTAACAGATAAGAAAGAAGCCCACAAATTACCGAATAAAGCCCTACGATATTATGTGGATCCGTCCCCTGAGGGAAAGCTATACAAAAAATCTCTTTGGGTCGTATTTGGAATGTGTTCACCCAAACAAAGTTGAGGACTTCTTAGCTGAGATACATGAAGGTAGTTGCGGTGCTCACTCTAGAGGACACTCATTAGCTCATTGAGCCGTAACGCAGGGATATTATTGGTCGACTATGCATACTGATGCCGAGAACTATGTGAAGAAATGCGAACAATGCCAAAAGTTTTTCCCATTAACTCATATATCTGCCGAAGAATTAAATTCTATTACTGGTCCTTGGTCGTTCGCTCAATAGGGACTTGACATCGTCGGGCCATCACTGCGAGCTCCAGGAAACAAACGATTCATAATCGTCGCAACAGATTATTTCACGAAGTGGGTTGAAGCAGAGGCATTGTGTGACAACCCTCACTACTGATTAGTGCTAATCTATGATTAAGCATGTTAAATGACTGATTGACTGAAATCCTAAACTGATTGATTGAGTATATAGCTTAAGTGCATTTCTATCTGTTGATTGTTGAATGATCTGTTCATGTTTTGCGCTTTAAACTATAAATTGAAGGCCTTATCGGCAGCCGAATATGAAATCGAGTAATGTTTTATGCTAGTTAGAATTTATGTGATTTTATGGTATATTTAATTGAAATGTGATTTGGTATGATTAAATTAGATTTAATAATGTTAAATTACATAAGTTGGCTTTATTTACCCTTTTGCCATTAAGTGGACTTTGCTAGGCCCTCTATTAGTCTTGATTCAAACACATTTCTTCAGCCATTTTCTTGAGCCTTAACCGACTAGAGAGGGAGAGATAGGAGATAGCTTTGGTTTCATCAAGTTTTGCTTGGAAAATTAGAAGAATTGAAGAGAGGATTGCATATTGAGCTTTTACATTTGAAATTGGAGACTTCAGGTAGAGAATTTACCTTCTTGTTCATATTTTGGGTTGGTTCTTGCATGGTTTAGAGGATTGTTGGAGTTTAGAGCCAAGTTATGGCTCAAATTGTTGAATTGAAGCTTGAACCATGCATGCATGTACATATTCTTGCATTTTGAAGTTGATTTTCATGAAATCTTGCATGCAAGTTTACATTCTTGTTCTAGTCCATGAGTTTATCATGGTTTGAGTTTAATCTTGCTTTGGATCATGTTTTGAGGCATTAGAATTCACTAGAATTCATACATGTCATATGTTCTTCATGTTCATGAAAACTTATTTGAAATTGTGTTTAATTGAACTACCTTTGGGCTTTGATTTCTCAAATTGATCTTTGAAATGTCATATTATGAGTTTACAAGTGTTTTCCAGAAAATTAGCCCAAAAGGATTGAATTTGATGCTTTAAAGTTGAGTTTTGAGCTTGAGGTTCAAATCTGGAAATTCCAGAATTTGGACCCACGCTCGAGCGAGGAACTCCATGCTCGAGCATACGCTTTGTGTTCATGCAATCCGCTCAAGCGAGTAAAGTGACGCTCGAGCATGAAATGCGTGTATCCAGCACTTTGCATGTGTTTACAGTCCGCTCGAGCGAGGGAATGCATGCTCGAGCGAGGACTTGTGTCTCACGCTCGAGCGAGGGTCGAGCGCCCGTCGAGCGTGAATTTCATGCATCTAGTACTTTTGCAGTCCACTCGAGCGAGGAAAGTCACGCTCGAGCGAAGCTCTTTTGTCTGCATGTCCGCTCGAGCGTAGAAAGCCACGCTCGAGCGAAACCCCTATTTTCTTAAAATTCTGAAAAGTGTTTTAAAGGGCATTTTTGCATCCTCATTCCATCCTAGACATTCCTAAGCCTAGTTTAAGGCATCTTAATGAGGATAATGCTTTAGAACCACACCGAGTGAAGATAGGGACTAAGTTATTATTTAGTGTGTGTTCATCCTGTAATTGTGTAGGGTTGGCATCCGAGGATGCTCACTAGCCTATCTGTAGCCCAGAACTCTGTGAGTAACAATGTTGTAAATATATGTTCAATCATGAATATTTTCTGAATGAACAACTGTACTGCTTTTTGAAATGATATTTCTTACTGAATGAATGTTTGTCCTATTTGTGAACTGTATTCGTGGCATCCATAGCAATTTACTGTTACTGTACTGTACTGCTACTGTCACAGAGATCTCTATCGGTTTTCATGTTTGGAACCACTACTGTTTACTGATATGATGGCCATAAATTGACTGTTTGGTCTGTTAAGACCTACTGTACTGTTTTATTATTGGATGTACCACATATGACTATTATAGTTTCTGAATGACTGTTATGGCATGAAATATGAGCCACGAACTGAATGACTGATATACTGATAAATGACTGTTTTCAATAATGAAAGGACATTCATTCTTAACCTCTTTATACATATGTTATTCACTGGGCTTTAACTCACTGCTCGTATATATGTGTAGGTGTTCAGGCACCGGACCATTGCTAGAAGTGTCAGGCTAAGCCCTTGTTTTGTCAAGCCAACCTTTGTGCCTCACTTTGAGATTTCAGATCTGTTCAAGCTAAGGCTGCTTTTGGGGTGTCTCAGATTCACCCTATCTGTCTCTGTTATGTATAGACTGAATGATATTTGTACTGTACTGTTATGGTAGGGATTTGGTCCCTAACCTGAATGCCTGTAAATGATGTATGTATATACTGTTTTTGTTCTGAATGTGAACATGTTATGAAAAGTCTTTTTGCATACAGACTGTCACAGCTCATTGGACATCTTTTAATTACTGTTTTGGCTTCCGCCAGCCCCTGTACTCTGTATTACTGTTTTACTGTTAAGCAAGCCTTCGGTAATCTCGGATTACTGGCCGGTTACGGTGCTAAACCCATAGGGACGGGTTTGGGTCGTGACACATTGGCACATATCCGAGATGTCGATGTTAAACGCTTTGTATGGAAAAACATTATAACTCAATTCGGCATATCGAGAGCACCGGTATCAGACAACGGCACCCAATTCGATTGTGACGTCTATCGAGAGTTATGCAATACATACGGTATCTGGCCCTATTTTTCCTCACCGGCGTACCTGCAAAGCAACGGTCAGGCTGAGACCTCCAATAAAGTGATCCTGGACAGCATCAAGAAACGATTAGAGAAAGCCAAAGGCAAGTGGGTTGAAGAGTTGCCCAGTGTATTATGGGCTCATCGCATCACTCTAAGGCGGTCAAAAACGTCGTTCGCCTTGTGCTTTGGGACACAGGCTATTATCCCTCTCGAAATCGGCCTGTCCACACTGAAATCCAAGGTTTTTCACATGGGGCGTAATGACATGATGTTGGCCTTAGATCTGACTCTGATTGAAGAATGCCAAGATCGTGCTCTTGCATGCACGGCGCAGTATCAGCAGCAGCTCACCAAGTCGTATAACCAGTGCGTATAGTTGCATCATTGTGCACCGGGAGAACTGGTGCTCAAGAAAGTGCTTTCTGCTACTAAAAATCCGGCAGATGGTAAATTAGGCCTCAACTACGACGGTCCTTACCAGATTGATTCAATTGCTGGAACAGGGCCGTATCGGCTTTCAGACATGGCTGGAAAAAGTTTATCACGCCCTTGGAATTTGACCTACTTGCCTAAATTTTATCATTAAGCCAACTTGTACGACATACTAGTTCGTTTTTTATTTCTACTGTTATATAAACATGTATGCATCTACGTATTCCGCAATACAATATGTCTTTTTTATTGCCGTCTCATTGAAAATGTTTGAATGATGAAAAAGCCTCCGAATTTGGAGCGCCCTTCGTGGATATCACGATTGGCCATAACCAAGACTCTGAATTCGAAGCGCTCTTCATGCATGCTCACATTTGGGCCAAAAAAGCCTCCGAATTCGGAGCACCCTTCGTGCATGCTCATATTTGGGTCAAAAAAGCCTCTGAATTTGGAGCGCACTTCGTGGATATCACGATTAGCCATAACCAAGACTTCGAATTCGGAGCGCTCTTCGTGCATGCTCACGTTTAGCTGAAAAAACCTCCGAATTCGAAGCGCTCTTCGTGGATATCACGATTGGCTATAACCAAGACTCCGAATTAGCGCCCTTCGTGCATGCTCACGTTTGGGCTGAACAAGCCTCCGAATTCGGAGCGCCCTTCGTGCATGTCACGATTGGCCACACCAAAGACTTCGAATTTGGAGCACTTTTCATGCATTATCACAATCGACACCGAATTCAGCGCATTCATTACAAGGTTTATTAGATCATCTTTGCTTAAGTTGGCCAAAGTTAGTAATTAAACTGCAACGGTCAATAGAAAAATAATTCTAAAGATGCATTAATAAACCAAGAGCAAGAAGATGGCATGAGACCACAAACACATATTTTTGATAAGGACAACCATAATTTTATACAAATAAGCACAAAGGATATTTATTCTTTACAACAATATATACAAATACATGGGTATCGATAGACTGGGAAAGACAAATGTCTTTTTGATTATCTAGGCCTTTTTCTTGACGACACTTTCTTCTTCGTCATCTGTCTTTTCGACCTCATATGCCTCAAAAGGGACTTGTAACTTTGGTACAACGAAGACACCGAATTGACACCAGCGGCTTGCAAAGCCTTAATCCATCTGTGTTTAAAGTCGCGATTCTTGCATCCGCCAACTTTTCCCTGGTTTTCTCATTACCGATCTTTCAGTCGTCGAAAAAGCCTTGCTCATAGGCCCGCGTTCTTATCGCCTCTTTTGCGAACATGCTTACCATATCCCGATCGGCTATAACATAATCAAGCAGGCACTGGTTTACTCTTTCCAAAGCGACCGGGTTTGTCTAACCCGCCAATCGCGTCTCGGTAGCCTTGGCCTTTCTCAGCTCGCCTTCGGCCTTTTTTGCACAAGTCCCGAATGCGGCCATCTTTCTGTTTGATCTCTCTTTGTGCGGCGCGAAGGCGCATGCCGATCTCATAGGAGCTATATAATCCTTTGATCGCTCCATGGACGCCCTCTTGAAAAATTTCGTAATCAGCCCAACCAACCATTGACTGTTGTACTTCGGGTGGAAATATTTGCCGAGTAAACTCTACCGCCATGTTCAAATCACGGATAATTGAATTCGCTTCGATCATTGGTTTGTTCCCAACGAATACTGAAAAACTTAGCGGGCGTGGTGGCCTAGGTGGCTCGTTTCGTGTTGAGGCATGGGCACTCCCAGTCCTAGAGGCATGGGCCTTCCTCCTGGGCGATTTTTCTACCTCGCCCCCTCTTGGGGACCTGCTTCAACAACGGGGGGACGGATTTCTCTCTCGTTCCTCTGACACCATTTTTCCCGTGCAGAAAAATTCTCCACCGGTTCCACGGTTCATTTCTGCCTCCAGATTAGCTAGTGCTTTTCCCTCGTCTCTACTGTTGAAGAATACTCTACTAGACATACATAATCGCTAAGATCGCACCAGTGTTCCTTTTTTCAGGCACACTCTCACCAGTGTCTATTTAAAGAGTCTACAAGCCCCACACGCGCCTGGCTACCTTGCATATTAATTATGAAACAAAAGCAACATTTAAGATTTGTAGGGCAAAACCCCCTTTTCTTTATAAACCATATCCCAAGGTAAAAATCCATCATTTCGTCCCATCTCAACAATAAATATCTAACCACGATCATTCCCAATAAACCATTTGAAAACTCCTCATTTTGATTTCAAACCAAAACCCAAGATTGTTCAAAATCCATTTCTTTCACAATATGGTTTTCTAAAAACAAATAACTAAGTTAAAACTTATAAGGAAGTGCGGAGAATCCCTACCTCAAGCTTAGAAGTTAGAAAAGAGGAACTCGGAAAAACTCAACGTCAATGAAGCCACAAGCCACTTGGATAAAAAGTAAGCCCTTGAGACGATCTACAATCTATTTCAAAGGACCAAGATGAGAAGGTACCTCTAAGTGAATAGATCTAAAGATCTAGGTAAGAAAAGTTGAGTTTTGAGAGAAGAGAGAGAAGTCATGGTTTAAAAAGAGAAGAGGGAGAGAGAAAGAAAAAGAGAGAGAGGGAGAGAGAGAAGAAAAAAAAAAGGAAAAGTGAGTAAGAAAAGTGTGTTTGGGGTCTATTTATAATGGTAAAATAATAGCGCTAAAGTCAAAGGAAAGAATAAGACAAACCCCAAAAGTAGGGCCCAAAACCGAACCAAAAATTTGAAAATCACTCACAAGGGTTGACCCTCGTGACAGTGGTATCAACTCTCAGGAAGAAAAGTTGAGACAGTAATGTTTTGCGGTAGACTAGGATCGACCCTAGGAGACAGTGGTGTCGACCCTATTTTTCAGAATGCAACCCAGAACAAAATAGAAATGGGAGGGTTGACCCTAAGAACCCGAGGTGTCGACCCTATATTTCAGTATGTAACCCAAGACAAAGCAGCGATGGAAGGGTCGACCCCACCAAGACTGGTGTCGACCCTAGATTTTAGTACCTACACCAAGAGCACAGTGGTGTCGACACCACCAAGGTTGGTGTCAACCCCGGAGCAGAGCAAAAACAAGAGAAAAGAAAGCAGTGTTGACACCACCAAGGATGGTGTCGACCCTTAAGTCATAATCCAACAAAAGAAAAGGGAAGGATGACCGCTACGGATATGGTTTCCTAGATTCGAAAGCAATAAATGGGTAGAGTCTAAGCGCGAATTGCTATATAATGTCTTAGAATAGTTCGAAGAGACTAATAAGATTAATGATATTGATATGGTAGTGGTAAAACAAGAAAGAAGAAGTTCATCCGCTCCACCTAATCCAAATCATCTAGATTTTAGAAACTTACCAGGCATCAACTGTAAGATGACACTAGAAATTATGAGTATAGAAGAAGAATGAGAAACTACAGTTATTTAAATAGAGGATCATTTGCTAGGGGAGCACCCAATTATGCAAAATTTATCCCTAGAAAGGAAATACTTTTAAGAGAAATACCACTAAAATCAATAAGTAATACATGATATTTATTAGATATTGATTGCACTACAAATACAAGTGAGGTAATAAAACAATGAAGAGAGGTATGCACCATGTATTAAATATCCATAGCAATAGCTGGAGTGCGCAAAATTTTCTAAATTATATTGAATATAACTTCATGGGTATAGTAACAAGTTGATATGACAACCTGAGAGAAAGTGACCAAAAATAAAAAATAAAAAAATAACAGAAACTACCTCAGAAGGTATGTTAAACCTATTTGCAAAATATATTGAAGATGTGTGATTGATAGTAGTGTAAGAGCATTTACAAGGTTTACTCTCTTTGTTTTCATCAAATTTGAGTAAAAATTTGGATTCAACACTAAAATTTTAATTTTCATCAAATAATCAGTCGACTGGGAAGATGTTTGGGTGGTTATCCAGCTTAATATAAATTTTCTTCAAAATTTCTCCAATCCGATCGTCCATCCAGTTGTCCACCGGTTGACCAGCCGATTATCCATCTGGTCGTCCACCAATGGCCACCTGCAAGATTTGATGAAAGATTAAAACGTTCTCTTGATTTGATGAAAAAAATAAAACTCCATTCATTTGATACCAATTTAGTGAAACGGTTAGAACACCGTTTTCATCAAATTTTCATCAAATTTAAATTTAGATAATTCAGTTTGAGTTATGATGTTCAAATTTAAATATAAATTTAATAAAATTTAAAAGACTTGTGAAATTCATAGTTTTGTTTTGTTGGCTTGAGTCGTTTACTTTGTAAAAAATTTAGTGTATTTTACTCAAAAAAAAATTAAATTGATTAGATAATTGTAACATTTTTATGTTATAATGTTTCTGTCTAAAAAATGAAAAAGCATGTTTTTCTAAATAGACCATCTATTTTTTTTAAACAAATACGATAAAATGTAAAAAGTACGTTTATTAGATTGACATAATTTTTTTTTTTTTTTTATAGATGATATATATGAAAGATCTTACAAAATAAATGATTTTGATCATTGAAACGAATACAACTGTTCAACGCTAAAATTTTAATTTTCATCAAATAATCGGTTGACTGGGAGGATGTCTGGGTGGTCGTCCAACTTAATGTAAATTTTCTTCAAAATTTGTCCAATCCGGTTGTCCACCCTATTGTTTGGCCGGTCATCCATCCGGTTGTCCACCAATGGCCACCTGCAAGATTTGATGAAAGATTAAACGTTTTCTTGATTTGATGAAAAAAGTAAGACTCATTTCATTTAATACCAATTTTGTGAAATGGCTGGATCATCATTTTCACCAAATTTTCATCAAATTTAAATTTGATTAAAGATTTGAGTCTGAGTTAGAGATAGTCCAATGGAAAGTTTTGGCCTTAAATTATTCAGTTTGAATTATTATGTTCAAATTTAAATATAAATTTAAGAAAATTTAAAACACTTGAGAAATTCATAGGTTTGTTTTGTTGATCTAAATCATTTATTTTGTAAAAATTTTAGTTTATTTTACTCAAAAAAAAATTAAATTGATCAGATAATTGTAACATTTTTATTTTATAATGTTTGTGTCAAAAAAATAAAGAAGCATTTTAAAAAAAAAATAGACCATCTATTTTATTTTATTTTTAAAAAAAACAAATACAATAAAATGTAAAAACTGCATTTATTAGATTGATATAATTTTTTTTATAGGTGATATATATAAAAGACCTTATAAAATAAACAATTTGAATTATTAAAATGAACCCTTTCAAATTCTATGAAGTTTAACTATGAATTTTAAAAAACAATTCCACTACATCCACTAAAATTATGTTCACCTGAACAAAAATGTTTTAGAATTCAAAAATAAGAGTTCTAATGAAACTCTAGAGATAATGGTCTCAACTAGGGCTGTCAATGGATCGGATTTAACCCGAATCCGTTTACAAAAAAATCCGATCCGATAATCCGAATCCGTTTAATCCATTTATTAAACGGATTGAATCTGCAAAAATCTGATCCGACCCGATAACCCGATAATCCGATCCGAGTATTCTCAATTTGAATGAAAAAAAACACAAAATAAAAAAAAATCAAATTATATATTATTGTAGCTCAATAAATAAATAAATGGATCGGATCGAATTATCAGATCGAATATTCAAAATCATCGGATTTGGATTCGGATATCTATAATCGGATATAGACTAAACGGATTCGGATCGGATTCGAGTTTGACATAATCGAATCGGATTCAGATTTTGACAGATCCGATCCGAATCCGATCCATTTACAGGCATAGTCTCAACTAATATGATGTTTTAACTTTGTTTATTTATTTATTTATTTTTAATTTTTTATATTGTTAGAAGTGAATTTAGAACTCCACGACTGGAGCTCTCGATCATCACCCCACCTAAAATGCTCGAATGAGGTGGAAAGTCTTACTCTAATACTTGTCCCATTTGCCTAAAAAATATGTGAGTTTCACGCGCTAAGAAAAGAAGAGGTATTGAATCAGATCCAACCCACGCCTCTTTTCTTCTCTCTTTCCCCTCAAACTGTAAACAAAGCTCTCTCTCTCTCTCTCTCTCGACTCTCTTTCCTCTCAAACAGTAAACAACACACTCTCTCTCACTCACTGATGGCTTTCTCTCTCACTAATACCTATCATCGACCACCACCAACTCACTCACACACTCTCTCTCTCTCTCTCTCAACACTAGCAAATACAGCCAAAAAAAATACTAATCCTAAGATTAATTATGCAAATTCTTACATGATCAAAACCACTAGAACTTCAGATTTCTTCATGGGAGTCCAATTAAAAAAGAAAAAGAAAACTCCCCCACAAGTTGTGCAAACCCACAACCACAATGGCGGCCAAGCCAGTCCCGACATCCCATTTGATTTCCCTCCTTTGTCTGGCCTCAAAATCATGAACCTCTCACTTAACAATTTCAATGACCAAATGGGTGGTTCAGAGATTTGATTTTAACACTCGAAAAACCCAAAATTTCACAAACTCACCTCACAAAATTCACCCAAAAAACACAAACCTATCAAGAAATGAAAAACATCAAGAAACAAAAATTCAGTTAAAAAAAACAAAGCTTTAGTCTTGGCTTTGTCAATTTCATCATCATCAACTATTGTTTTGCCCATGGTTGTGTGTATTGCATATGTACAAGAAAAGAGAGAAGTCTTACATGAAGAACAAATGGTTGATCTCTCTACACCCATTCAATTACTTTTCAAGATAGACAAAATTAGGGTTGGTTAGTTTCGAGATTGAGTCATGATCATCATGGGTTGTAGTTTGTGTGTGTGTGTGTGTGTGTGTGTGTGTGTGTGTGTGTGAAAAGATATGGAGTTTGTACCAAAATGGAGGTCTTGTGGGTTTTGACCACTGGAGTTTTAAAGAAAGAGAGTGAAAATGGTGCTTTTAAACCCACTCTTTCCCTACCATTCTTGCTTCTCTTTTTGGCGTGGAGACCCCGCGATTTGCAGCAACGGAAAAGGGGGTTGGATTTGCGGCGACGATCCCTACCATTCTTGCTTCTCTCTCTGGCGCGGTGACTTGCGATCTGTAGCAGCGGAAAAGGGGGTTGGACTTGCGGTGGCAAGGTTCATGAAAGGGGGTGGGTAGTTCACGATGGTCGGCAAAGGAGTGGCGGCGAGGGTGTGGAGGTCGGTTCTCCGATCACCCTTTCCTTTTATTTTCTTCATAGATTATTCAGATCAACGAGAGAAGAGAGAGAGACCACCATTTGTTTGAGAGAGAAAGAGAGAGAGAGAGAGAGAGGGGACTGTTGGTGTAAACAAAGAGAGTAAAAGAATAAAGAAAAATGTTATGGAATCAAATAATTTATTAAATTTTTTATCAAATTTTGTATGTGTGTGGATGTTCTTATATGTGTGTGGATCCTATTTATTTTAAGAGTTACATTAGAATTCAAATAATTTATCAAAATTTTTATCAAAAAGAGCATTGAGTTTATTATCAACGATGAATGCCTAGTTTTCTGCTGCATCCATATAATTTTTTCCTTACACATTTCTTCCAATTATGTTTTTTACCGGTAAAAGGTCATAATCATTTTCTTACCGGTAAAAAAAATAAAAAAATAAAAACAAGAGAAAAAATTTGTATAAATAAATCATTTTAATTTCCACACAAAATTTTACGAGCTCTCTTATACAGCCATGTGAGAAAGTCAACAAATTTATGTAAAAATTGGATAATTATATCTTTACTCTAATTCTATTCCTAATTATCATTTTTTTTTTTCATGTATAAATTATTTATGTTTTTAAACAACATTCAATTGTTTAAATAAATTTTTTATTCAATGTAATAGTCAAACAAATAATTTTGTTTGGAAGTTAATATTATTTTTGGACAATTGATATCGAAATAATATAAACAATGTATACTAAGGTCTCGTTTGGAGATTAAATATTTTAATCAAAAAATTAAAAAATTATTATAAATTATCACATCACGCTCTCTATTTTTTTTACATTTTTCTATAAAAAATTATTAAAATAATATATTCTCAAATGAGGCATAAGATAAAGTTGAGTGTGCTAATAGAATTATCTTTTAGGTTAATGCTCATCAAATATTAGAAAATTTAGAGTTTGTGTTTTTTGTTAAATGACATTTTTGCCCTTACCATGAGGTTTTTTTTTTTTTTTTTTGTTGATATGTATGTAATGATAGCCACCAATGAATCTGCAAGAAAGGACTTGGACAAGAAAATGCTGATCACAAAAAGAAGTGTTATCTCAAACATCCTTACACACGTGGTTGTGAAGAAAAATGGGACAAAGTTTAGAAGCAGGGTAGTAGTATCTCAAAAGAGAGAATTGGGTGAGAAATCAAGGACCAAGCAGGAACCCATTTTTTCATTGAGAGTTTCAAACACAATTCTTGCTCAGTCTGCAATTACAGTGCTTGGATTGGGGTTCATCGATGCCGGGTAATCTCCTAGAAATTAATTCTACTATTTTTTTTTTCTTGTGTGTGTGTGTGTGATCTAAATAGGTATAGTAGTGTTTAGACTTAACCAGTATCTACTCTATCTCTCTCTCTCTCTAACTTGCAAAATTTGCACAATTCAATGTCAAGGTATAGTGGAGACTGGTCAAGGATTGGAGTGATTTCAAAGGAGACTGAAGATTTGTTAAAACTTGTAGCATTTATTGTAATCCCTTTGTGCCTCTTTCTCATATTTTCTTTCTCTAAGAAACAAGAGGTTTGAAATTTCGAACATAATTGTACCATTTTCTAGGCAACCAACACTTTTGCTTTAAAAAATAAAAAATAAAAAATTTTGTGGTGGTTTATCTTTTCTATTTTTCCTTGTCCTTTCCGTCATCGAGAGCCATGACATGCCCTATAAAAAAAAGGGTAATATTTTTGTTAGTTTGCATCAATATGCAGCCTTTTACCATTAAACAAAAAAAATGCAACTTTTGTTCCATGTCGAAGATACCTTTGCATTGTTTTGTCTCATGCTTTTATTAGCAAAATTGAAGAGTTTTATCAAATAATGTGGAAATAGGAACCAATAATTACAGCTAGGATTATTTACACCCTGACCTCCTACACTATTGAAAAATATTATTTTGACCTCTTAAATTATAAAAACGTACAAATAGATCCCTTAAACTATCGTGAAATATCACTTTGTCCTTTAAATTATAAAAGCGTACAAATAGACCTCCTAAACTATTGGCGTCTCTTTCGTTAGGGGTCTAATTTGTATAGTTTTTATAGACTATTGGCGTGTTTCACTCTGACCCCTTTCGTTAGGGGTCCAGTTTGTATGGTTTTTATAGTTTAAGAGATCTATTTGTACGTTTTTATAATTTATGGAACAAAGTGACATTTCACAATAGTTTAGGGGGTCTATTTGTATACTTTCATAATTTAAGAGTCAAAATGATACTTTTTAATAATTTAAAGAGTCTCCATATAAATAACTCTTATAACTGCAGATTATATTAGTGGACAAGTTAAGAGGTATATATTACAATGACAAGTGTAAGTGGGTATTAGTTGGGAAAATTCTATAACACATGTCTTGTATGATTTTTGTAGTTTTTAATTATTATTTATTCTAGTATTAATTATGACTTCACTATGGCTAATTGTAATGTTAATTATAATTTAATTATAATCACTACTTGATTTATTTTAGTTATGCCTGAAGAGGTATTTGATTATGCCTCAATTAGTCTTTGGTTATGACCCTTAGTTATGTTGTGATGTTGGTTATACTGCAACAAATAAGAGTTTTAAAAATCAAATTTTTGTCCCAAAATATAAAAATTTTGTTGCAAAAAAAATTTAGGGACCAATTTGTTTTGTCACGAGAATAGTTGCTAAAATGTCAATTCGAAAAGTTTTAACCAAAAAAAAAAAAAAAAAAACTTTTAGCAATAAAATTTTAAAATTGTCGTTGATAGATGCATTTTTAGGCACAATAATTTGGTCACAAAAAGATTTATTTTTTTAGATAAAATTTTGGTCCAAAAAAGATAATAATTTATCACTAAATGTCCAATTTTGTCTCTAAAAATACAATAATGCTATTTTTGACAAAAGAATATTACATATCTAAAAGATTCTATGCCTAAATTTTTATTTTTAAAACCTTAATTTGTTGTAGTGTTATAACTTATTGTAATTATTATTTTAATTATGAACGAAAAAGTCATGTCATAAGTGATATTTGATCATGATCCATTATATTATTTTTAATTTTGAATATAAAAGTGATTTAATTATAATATTTATGATATAGATAACGTAACTTATATATGATATATACTCCCCAAAAAAAAAATGTATTATAAAGCAACCCAATATTATTATTTTATTTTGACACATCGAATTAATATTTTTTTTTTTCTTTCTAAAGTCGAGCATCGACCGGGGCTAGAGTCACCAATTCAAACCTATTAGGCTCCTCATTATTGATCATTTTAATTATGTTGTAATTTCATGTAAAATTTTATAAATATTTCTTCTTCTTTTTTTACTCATTTTGAATGGTATTGACATTAAGCATTACAGTGTAACGATTGTATGTATACTTTGAAACTTGAAATAGAACAATTAAAACAAAAATATTTAAGACCCCTTTTTTGGGGGTTCTCTGACCCCCAATAACTATTGAGATTTAAAATGTAACCTAGTGTATGTTTTGAGGACCATCAGTGTAATTAATTATCCTTAAAAACAAAATTACAATATATCCCAAATAAACTCCCGAAGAAGGAGAGAGATACTCCAAATGATTACAACAGTAATATGACCCTTATGTAGGTGGAAAGAATCGAACTTTTAACCTTTTAGTACAGTTTAAGAGCTCTAGCCAATGGATTTCCATTAAATACTAACAGCAAGACAAATGTTGCCAAATTTTAAGGAAGATGGGTAGTTGCGGTACATAAAGCACAACAATCACTGTTGTGTGGCTAATTGGGTTTACTTCGGACCTTATTTTGATAATCTGAGTCGTTCAATTTTTAGAGTATATTGAGTAGAATATACTTAAAAAAATTTAAATTAATCGAATATCAGTAGCCATTTCATCTAAGTACATTTGTACTCAGTTTTATACCCAAAATCACATTAACCATTCATTTTTTAAAATACAAATGTAATTAGATGAAAAATTTATTGATATCCGATCAATTTAACTTTTTTTACAGATATATTCTATTTGATATACCTAAAAAAATGAATGATTCAGATTATCGAAATATGACCCATAATGGACCCGATTGACTGCACAACAATAACACTGTGCATAAAGCACAACAATCCCCCCAAATTCAAATTTAAACACCATGGCTAGTTAAATTCTATTTTGTTTTCTTTCCAATCTAGTAAATTGTATACTTTTATTTTTTTAATTTTTTTTTATGCACTTTGTTTTCTATATATAAATTTAATGAACTAGCAAATAATTTGTTCTCCCTTTCTCTAAATCAGACTGCAAGCAAGTAGTTTGTTCTATCCTTGTTTTTATAAACCAAATTGTAAGCAAGTATTTTATTCTCTTCTTTTTGGTCCTTTGATATTGATATACTTTGGTTTTACATATAGAAACTGATTGGCCTACAACTGGTTAGTCCAGTCATGACAGTCAAACACTCGGCCTCCTCATGTCGTAGGCCATTCAAACGATGGCTTTAGTCCCCATATTGGATGCATCTTCAAAATATTTTTCCTCCAAAAGCTTAATAATTGGAAAAATAAAAATATGTCATTTTTAAAAGATCCAACAAAAAAATAATTTCCTTACCGAAAAGACTAAGCCTCTGTTTGGCAAGTTGATTTTCAGGCTTTTTTGGCTATTTTAGCCACAAAAAACAAAATAGGCTATTTTAGCCATAACAAACAAAACATCAAATCCAACCTATAATCATTACATTCTTCTCTCACAAAAAAAGTCAAAAAAGCCAAAAAGCCAAAAAGCCCTTCCCAAACCAAGCTTTTTAGCCCAGGCTAAAATAGCCAAAAAAACCAAAAAGTCAAAAAGCCAACCTACTTCCCAAACCAAGCCTAGTTTTTAAGCCTTTCCAGCCGAGCTAAAAAACCCTTTAGCCTTTCCAGCCGAGCTAAAACTCTTAAGCATTCCAGCCGAGCTAATTTCACACCGGGCTCTGCTTGTCCGGTCAAAACGTCTCTTCAATCACAGCGACTGTAACGCTTCCCATTCTAATGGCACGTGGCATGCTCTGATTGACTGAGGACGGCTGTCGTGCCGTCTTTGTACTTCGTGTTTTTTGAACAGTCCCGCCCAAATTTTGGGCTTTCTAACAAAAGCAAACCCTAAGGCAAAAATCTCTCCATTTCTACTATTCATCATTTTCCTTTCCTTCTGAGTTCTTCACTATTCTTCATCTTCTGAAAGAGTTCGTGATTTGCTGCCTTTTGCTTCCATCTTCAGTCCTTGCTTCTTCATCTGGTTAGTATTGTACATCTTACTTTGTTTTCGTATTTTGCTTTCTATGTTTTGTTTTCTATGTTTTGTTTTCTATGTTTTGCAAAACACATTTTTCCATTTTGCTTTGCTCTGTACTTTTATGGAAAAAACTTAACAATAGAACACACGAGTATATGATATATCCTGTAGAAAACTGGTTTTTGATCCAAAATCATGATGCAACCGAACTAGGATACTGTTCAAGCTAGGTAAAAGTCTAGTCAGCTTACAACCGGACTAACACTTCATGTTCACACCAGTAGCTTTGAATAAGTCAAACCACTTCTTGATAAACCTTAGCCGAGGTAACCAATTGAACTAAGTTTGCACTTAGCATACTAAGATACCTGAACTCCAACCAATCTAGGCCTTTGGGGCTAAACCAGCTTTCTTAATTTTTTAGATGGAACTCAGAAAGCTGCCCCTAGACGATCAACCGGTCAAACAGAACCATTTCCACAACCGAGATATCTAGACGCTTTCCAAGCCCGAACAAATAAAAGCCCTGCTCAAACCGAGCTACCAATCACCTTGCAGAAACCGAGATAGAACCTGTAGCATCCACATAGCCGAAGTAGGCCTCCTATTTTTTACTTTTATTTTGTAGCACAGTCCAATGATCTGTGCTTAACCCCTTTGTTTTCTACTGTGCAGACTTAGGTTGCCCAGGCACTCCTCTGCGCGCTCAACCGTGCTACTGAGCACAATTTTTGGACCGAACTTATTTATTCATAAATTATACAATAAATGGGGAAGTATAGGTTTCTAGTAGAGACGCCAGGTGGTCTAACCGAATTCCGAAAGGATTATGGCATTCAATTAGGTTCAAAATGAATGGAGTTTAATAATTTAAAATAAATTCCCAACTAAGATTAAAGTTTAAATTCAATTTGATTCAACTCGTTACAGAAGGCGTCACCAACGTAAGATATATTGTCCCACATGCTGCTCATGGCAGCAAACCAGACTATGCCCAA